CCACGACGCGAGGAACCACGGGCTCATGACGAGGAGGAGGAGGAGGAGGAGGAGGAGGAGGAGGAGGATGGAACTTCCCGCCCTACTTGTTGACATCGCTTGGGGTGCATTTACGACATGGTCATAAGCCAGAAATTGTATCAAGGTGCGGCGGATCCGAAGTCTGGGGAGAGGAGGAAGAAGGGAAGAGGGGGGCGGATGCTGTGATGAGAGGGACTGGGCCGGGCTGAGAGGGGCTGGTCTGGCAGAGAAGGAAAGCTCGAGGGGACACAGGCGGCATGTGCGCAAGGCGGCGGCCGCGACCAGCTATCCGGCCCGGGTCAGCGGGAGGGCGGCGTCCAGGATGCCGCTCCTCCCCCAGACATCCAACGTCAGGGGAGGAGGAGGAGGAGGGAGGAAGGAGGAGGAGGAGGAGGAAGGGAGGAGGAGGAGGAGGTGATGATGATGATGAGGAGGAGGATACGATACGACTCAGCATCGGCGAACCGTTGAGGATGAGACCCCCGCTGGATGGCAATGCAACTGACTCACTGTGCAAGAGAGAGGCCGACAGGACGATGCAGGCGGAGACAGATAACATGCAGAGCCAAGGCGGACAAAGACAGGGCAGGAAACACAGAGACCGAGGCACGGCAAAGTGGGTAAATTCAACAGCGAGAAGCCTGAATTCAGAGACATGACACTGGATGCACCTCGCTTCACGACTGCCTGTCCCTGCCACTCGGGGGGACCACAAAAAGGTGAAAGAGCACGCAGCAACAGAGGCCTCAGGATGGCTCACGACATGCACAGAACAAGTAGAAGCAGAAGAGACGGTGCGAAGGAGCCTTATTTGAACACGAGTCGCGCAGGCGGCCAGCGGGCCTGCTGCGGCGCCTTCACGGAGGAGGACGGCGACGAGCCCGAACCTCCTCAGCACCTTAGAGAGATTTCAGTCTGGCCTGCAGCTTGTACACCGTGTCGCTGTCGCCGCTGACGACCGCATCGAAGATGTCGAAGGTGAGGGAACGGTGGAGCTTCACAATCGTAGCCTTCCTGCGTGTGGCCTGCTTCGCGGTCTCGATCTCAATCAGGTTGTCCTCGATGTCACGAAGAAGTTGACCAGCGCCAGCCTTGCGGAGTGCGGGATCTTCGACCGCAGCGCTGGCCCTTTCCCTCAGCGCCAGTGCGTGTCCACGTAGGATCGCAACCTGCTCCTGGTGATGCATGTCCTCCTCCAGCAGAGTCGATAAGACCGTGTCTGAAGCGGCGACGAGGTGCTCTTTCAGCACGAGCATCCGTGGAGACAGCTCGGGGTACTGACCAATGATGTCGGCGACTTTGCCGAAGTTCTTGGCTTCGGCCTGCTCCAGCAGCTCGTCCCAGGCGTTCGAGGCGGCTGCCATCCTGGCTGGGTTGACGACCTTCGTGCCCTCGATGGTGGCGATCTCTAGGTCCGCGTTTGTGACGGCCGAGTCCACGATATCTGGTCCAGGAACTGCATCTTCCTGCACTGAGGCCAGGGGGGGTCGTCCCGCCCGCGTATCAACTGTGCCAGGCTCGGTAACAGGCGCCTGATCTGACGTAGTAGTGGTAGGAGCGGCAGAAGGCGAGGTTGCTGCGGCAGCTTGGGCGGGCGCCAGCACGATGTACGTACCCATGTCTGGAAACGGGTCCGTCTGGATCTCCTCGATCAGCTCCTCCTGGTCCTCCCCGTTGCATTGCGACTTCATCAAGTCACCGTGGAACTCCCCGTGGAGGTTCTCGACCAGGCCGACAAGGGCGGCGGGGGTCGCGGTGATGACAGGCTCCGTGACGTAGCGGTTCACCTCCGAGGACGGCAAGCTGTAGGAGTTCTTCACCTCCATTTTGTCGGCGGCAGCCATCTCCATGCCGGCCTCCGTGACCGAGAGGGTGAACGGTTGATTCTCTTCCTGTCCCGTCTTTTCTGGGACCAGCGCGTCCAGCACAAGCCTCGCCCGTGTAGACGATCGGATCTGTTGCTGAAGGACAGAGAGCTCCTGGCGCAGGAGACCCAGCTCGCTGTAGAGCTCCTTGATTGCTCGCCTGGCCATAGACTCACCACCGTAGCCAGCAGCCAGAGATGCCGACACAGAGCGAGACGCGAGCAGCAAGAAATCGCCAAAGTGTAAAGCGGAGAAGGAGGCTGCGATAGGTGTCGGAACGAGCAGCCTGAAAAAGGAAACTTCTGGGTGGAGGGGATGCGGACGGGCCGCCTCACCGTCGCCTGCTCAGGCCAAAATGACTTGAGCCAAAATGGATGATGATGATGATGATGATGATGATGATGATGATGATGATGATGATGATGATGATGATGATGATGATGATGATGATGATGATGGATATGATGATGAGGAGGATGAGGGGGGAGGAGGAGGAGGAGGAGGAGGAGCATGAAGAGAGTCAACTCGCCAAGGCCCAGGGCACGCACCTGCAGCAGGGGGGCCCGGCCCTGGGAGGCCTCATGGGCCCCTGGCCCGCGGGCGGGCCGAGCTTCAGGCGGCGGCTCGAGCCCGCGCGGGGCCGCGGCCCCGTGGGGGCCCCGGGGCCGGGCGTCTGCTGCCGCCCGAGGCCCCGCTCGCGTCTGGGCTCCTCCTCCTCCTCCTCCTCCTCCTCCTCCTCCTCCTCCACGCGATCCCGCCGCCCCCAGCGTTCACGCCACACCCTGGCCGGGACGGCCCTGGCCGGGACGGCCCTGGCCGGACGCCACTGTTACAGATGCCCTCTCCGGAGTTTGGGCCCTGCCTCTCGGCGGCGCTTCTCGAGCCGGATCGATCCTCCCAGACCTCCTGGCGTCGTGAAAAAGTCACGACGGGAGGTTTTTCGCTGTCTTCGGCCTCCAGGGGGCCCTCCCCGGGCCGCGGGAGCGTCAGAAAACGACTCGGGACGAAGAGCCGGTCCCGGGGAAGGGGCCCAGACCTCTGGGGGTCGACGTCGTGAACAAAAATCACGACGCCTGGGCTCCCAAAACCTCAGGTCGGGCCCGTCCTCCCACAGGGGGGATCTTTGCCCCAAGAATGGTCACAAAGAGTGCCCCAAGTGGGCCCCGAGACGGCCCTCCAAGATTGCTCCAGATAGCCCAAGATGCCCTCTAAAATGGCGCAAGACCCCAGCTGGGCCTGGATGACCTCCAGATCGCCTCAAGAGGGCCCGAGGTGGCCTCGAAGCCTCCAAAGGATGGAGACGAAGGTCCAACAAAAAACCATATGATTTGGAATGGTCAAAGGGTGCTCCGAGGATGGTCCCCGGACTATTTGTTGACTACTTATGGATCTTTGGACAAAACATGTGTTTCTTCAGCGCAATCTTCTGGAGAGGGGGGAAGAGGGACGGTCAGAGAACTCGCCAAGCGGCGCATCACTCCGGTCCGATTGCCAATCACACGCAGCCTCACTCAGCCTGCCAGGCCCGATACAAAAACCCTGGACTCGCACAGTGAGGAAAATATGTGTCGCAGAGCTGGTGCAAAAAAAAAAAATAATATTCCAAACATGCCCCAGAATGATCAAAGAGTACTGCAAAAATAGTCCCCAGACTATTTGTTTGACTATTTTGGGGATATTCCCCCTGTAGGGGGACAGGCCCGACTGAATTCTAGTCGCCTCGTGCATGCCATGGGGTGGCACCCGCACCGCGCTGGGGCTCGCGAGGAGTGCGAAGGCCAGAAAAGGGGAGGCCGAGGAAAAGAGGGCGCAGGGGGAAGAGCGGAGGGGGACGGGAATGGTGGAGTGCAGCCTATGATTGGCACTGCCTTGTCTCGATACCGATCTTACGGATTCCCTCAGTTTCTGAGGGCGCATCCCCAAGATTGTCATCGCCTTCGGGCTTGTCAATCTTAGGGATAGGGATAAGCTCGAGGCTGGTTGTATGGAGACGGAGGGCGAGTGAGGGTGTTGACGGTGATGATGCGGAGGAGGGAGAGCGTCGGGAAACTCGGGAATTCGGGACCCAGACGACGTCTGAAAAGAAACTAACCACTGCCGACCACAAGTTTCGGCCGAAGATGCCGAGAGAAACAATCTGAACTCTCCCGTCTGGCCTTGCGGAGGAAGAAAGAAACCCGCACGACGAACACATTCAAACCCGGGAGGGCGAGGACGAAGAGAGGACGAGAGGAAGACGTGACCAGAGGATCGGCTATACGCAAGAGTGGCCCCAGGCAGGAGTGACTTTTGGTGCGCGATTTTCGGGGGCCGCGAGGAGGCCAAACCCGGGCGCGCAGGACGCTTCTATCGCATCGCTTTCAGTCACCTGGGGACCCCATTATGCCCGCACAGAGTCACTCCAGCGATATGTCACTTCTGCGTGTAGCCGAGAGGAGGAGGAGAAAGAGGAGGAGGAGGAGGAGGAGGAGGATGAGGAGGAGGAGGACGAGGAGGAAGATTATGATGAAAGGGACGATAGAGAGGAGGAGGAGGACGAGGAGGAGGACGAGGAGGAGGACGAGGAGGAGGAGGAGGAGGAGGAGGAGGAGGAGGAGGAGGAGGAGGAGGAGGAGCGCGAGGAGGAGGAGGATGACGACGACGAGGAGAACCATGAAGGGACGATGAAGAGGAGGAGGACGAGGAGCTGAAGGACGAGGAGGAGGAGGAGGATGACGAGGAGGAGGATGACGAGAAGGAGGAGGAGGAGGAGGAGGAGGAGGAGGAGGAGGAGGAGGAGAGGAGGACGAGGAGGAGGAGGAGGAGGAGCGCGAGGAGGAGGAGGAGGATGACGACGACGAGAAGAACTATGAAGGGACGATGAAGAGGAGGACGAGGAGCAGGAGGACGAGGAGGAGGAGGATGACGAGGAGGAGAGGACGGAGGAGACGAGGACGAGGAGGAGGAGGAGGAGGAGGAGGAGGAGGGACCGGGCCAGCGAGGGCCAGCGTTGGCGCCTCTGGCGGCCCGTCGGGAGCCGTCCGCGAGGCCCCACGACAGGACGAGGGCGGAGGCGGAGGTCGAGAGGTGGCTATCCTTTCACGATGCGAGGGGGTCTCGGGGGGACGATGAAGAGGAGGAGAACGAGGAGGACGAGGAGGACGAGAGGAGGAGCACGAGGAGGAGGAGGAGGACGAGGAGACGAGGAGCAGGAGGAGGAGGAAGGAGGAGGAGGGAGGAGGAGAGGAGAGGAGGAGAGAGGACGAGGAGAGGGGGAGGGAACCAGGAGGAGAGGGAGGGAGGACGAGGAGGGAGAGGGAGGAGGAGGAGGAGGAAGAGGAGGAGGAGGAGGAGGAGGAGGAGGAGCCAGAACCCAAATCGAGTCGTCAATGAAAAACCGAAAGCGCCCGGGAAACTTGAGACGACGCTGACGCAAGCCACCGAAACCGAATCGGGGTGGTCGAGCGAGAAAGCTAACAGGCCTGGCCCGAGCGGGCTGCCTGCGCAGCGCTACGTTGCGCAGGGCGCATGGCTTCCCACGCGCCGCTACCGAACGGTAGGCGGCGGGGACTCACCCTGCACCTCCTGCGGCGGAGGAAGAGGAGGAGGAGGAGGAAGAGAAGAAGGAGGAGGAGGAGGAGGAGGAGGAGAGGACGAGGAAGCGGGGTGAGGAGGGGAGACGAGCGACGCGCCCGTTTTGGGGTGGAACCCCGAAAGCACCTTGGCCAGAACAGCCAACTGTGCCTTCTTGAGGCGCTTCTCCCTCGAGAAGCCCATGCATACCGATCGAAGCTTGCGCTTGGGCCTCACGCGCAAGCGGGGTGAGAAGGAAGCGCAGCATCGGCATACGAGCGCGTGCCCGACCTGCACCACCTGGTGGCCTCTCTCGGAGACGCAGCTCATGTCGATGGGGGGGTCGGCACAACCACGCCCTCAGGCGGCTCACCCGACTCGGCCTCCTCCCCATCGACGTGAAGGGCGGACGCGGCCAGGAACGCAAACCCCACCGTGGCGTCCGCTCCCTCGTGGAAGAAACGCCCCCCTGCGCCTGGCACCCTCCAGATACGGTGCAGCCCCAAGCCTACGCTCAGGCGTGGGCTCACACAGCCCGTGCGAACGATTCCGAAGAGAGCGAAAAGTGAGCTCAACGCATGCCGATCGATTGCGCTCCTTGCAACGGACCTCGCCGGTGTCCGGAAAACGTACAAACTGGTGCTGAGACGAATTGAGAAGGGCCGCGCGCGGGCCGCCGGGAGGCCGTTCGCCCTGCCCCCTGGCTCTCCAGAGTCCAGGCTCTGCAGTCCTGGCCACCGCAGGCCCGAGGAAGCGCGCGCGAGAGACTGCACGGCTCCGATTTGGCGATCGAGCCCGTCCACGTACTTCTCTGGCGAGGCGCGGGAAAAAAGGGCTCCGAGGCGGGCAACATGATCGGCCCATGCGTCCCCTTGCACATCCAACACCGAAATCCTTTTTTCCAGCGCGCCGTCAATCGTGAGGTGCGACGGGGCCGCGGCGAAGTCGGGCACCCCTTTTTGCTCCGCAGCCTGAAACAGCGAGCGCCACACGCCTGGGCAGGTGCCCCTGGACGAGGCGAGGCGGGGGTTCTACCCTCGACCTTCCTGGACAAAACTGTGCAAATCGCTGACAATGAGCACCGTGCCCGGCAAGAGTTGCACGGCGCGGAGGCCCGCCACTCGCTCTGCTCTGCCTGCGGACTGCAAGATCCCCGAAAGGCCTCCATACGCGGCTCTAATGGGCACACCGTGGATATCCACCTGCACGCAGCTCCAGCCGCAGCGAGTGCCCTCGGGAGCTCGGTTCCCGAACCCCGAACCGTCAGTGTAGACGACGTCTCCCCCCACCCCGCCCGATCAGACGACCAATCCCCCCAATGCTCAATTGGCAGAGAGTCAGGGGCGGGGGCGGGCAGGCTGGGCTCGACATGAAGACCTATCGTGCTATCAAATCTGTCCCAGCACGCGCCGAATCCCGAAAAACCCGTGTCTCTCCAGAACTCGCGCGTGGCCAGAGCAGCCTCGGAAAAAGGGGGGCCCTCCTCCTCCCCGTGACAAGCCAGGAGGGAAGCACAATCAAAAAGCTCGTGCCCTAGAGCACCCTGCGGAGCACCGCAGGCCAGGCACGCGGGAGAGGCGACCAGCCCATGGCGATGTTGCCGTTCTTGGGGCCAACGCGCTCCTGGCCAGAACGTTCGCAGCCCGCCAGCCGCCGCGCGACGGACCCCTCCTTTGCTCCAAAGGCAGGCCCTGAAGCACCAGTGCCACAAGCGGAGACCCCCTGGATTGTGGTCAGAATGGTGCTCGAGAATGCGCCGATGCTGCCGGCGCTCAATACCTGCTATCAAATACTGCTTAGAAAATCTCGGAGGGCTGGCGAGCAACGAACGCGCAGTCCCCAGATCATCCCGGACAAGAGTGGAGGAGACCATGGACAACCCGACTCTCTCGAGATTGAGGAAAAACACTGGAGAGCGGACCCCGGACCCCATCGCCACGCAGGTCTGGCCAGCAGGCGAGGCTCCAGAAGTCGCCGAGCCCTTTCCAACTTACCGAGGGGGAAGGACTGGTCCCAAATAGCGCGCACATATTGCATTACGGGCTCAAACGCGCAATCATGTATAGGATCGTAAAACCGATCTTTCTTGTTGGCCAAAAACAAAGTGATGCTGCTGCTGCCCCCCCCTTGCTCCTACAAGGGAGGCGGCCTTGTGCCGGAGCTCGCGCAGCCGTGCATCTGGGACCCCAGAGACGGCCGCTCCATAAGCGGCAGAACTGAGAAGGCAAGGCCTCCACAAGCCGGCAACTTTAGAACCGACGGCGTTCCGCAGAGAAACCACTCTGTGCCAGCGCTGTCGAAGTCTCCCACACCGGACCCCCTCCCACTGGCGCCTCCGACCCGCCCCAGGAAGCTCGTGGCCAAGGTTGCGCATATGCCGCCGATTTGTTACCTTGAGCGCAGACGCACCCGAGCAAAACCCTTGGGCCGCCTGGAGCGCTGCAGAAACAAATCCGCTCTTGGCGCGCTGGGGGAGAAAACCGAGGGGTTCCACCTCCTCGCACAAACAACGAGCAGCCCGGAGCAATGCGCGTGCCTCTTCGGCTCGCTGGCCCAGCCATTGGAGACTGACGTCGTCGATGAAGGGCCCCGGGATGACCGAATCCGAGGTCAACTTGACACGATGCAGCACACGGTACGTCAGCACTGCAACCAACGTCGTGGCACGCGTGCACCCCGCCAGCACTCCCTGCCAGGAGCGGTAAGTCAGACTGCAACAACCATAGGCGCGCAAGTAACGAGGTTCTGCGAAGTAGGCCAGCAGCATCCACAGCAAGCGCAGCGGGAAGCAGAGGACCCCTGCCTCCGCGAGCAGGGCATCTGGCCTCACCAACTCGAAACACTTGTAGGCGTCGTAGAGGACGGTCACCGAGTGGCCCCCCAGCAACGTCTCCGTCTCAGCATGCGGGTTGTGATGGAAGGCCGAGTCCGAGCTAGTCTTGCCAGGACCTGCAGGGCCGAACATGAGCAGACTGGGATGTTCGGCCAGCCACGTCGCGGACAATTCCTCGCGCATGCGACTCCACACCCGCACAGAGGACTGCACCAGCGCGATCACGCGATGACCGCCGCCATCCTTGGGCAACAGGACAAGCTCATTCGGGATCCGCTGGGAAGGCCAGCGCAGCAGCGTCTCACAACGCCGAAACAGCGCAATCAGACTCTCCAAAGCCACGTCCGACAGGAACGAGAAAGTCCGAGGTGAGATGCGCAATTGCCCCGAAGCCGTGGACCAAGAGAAACTCGCCAGAGCCGCCCTGAGCTGCTCCACCGACACGTCAGGCAGGTCGTCCCAGGAGGACGCATCCGAGGGCAGATGCAGCGGCTCCAATTCATGGATCCGCCAGATCTCCTTCCAGTCCTCCATGGCATCGTGCACTATAAGGCGGAGGGGGAAGCATCCGACCTGGCTTCGATGACCTCCTGCAGCGCCTTGACTTTAGAGGCCCGGTGCGCACCGCGAGCCCCATGCAGGAAGGCTTCGTGCGCCAACTCCACCCACTTGGCCTGGTTGACCTTCGGGGCCTTGGCCTCCAGGTCGTCGGCCTTCTCGACGATGGCGTACACCATACCCTCAAAATCGCACCTGAGCAGGGCCTGCCCGCGCTCCGAGACGAAGCCCACGGCCCGCGCCTCCAGGTGCCGCAGGTACCTGGAGCCGAGGCTCTTGTCAAAGAACTTCCCGAGTCCATCGAGCGCCCCGGCGATCTCACGGTGCTGAGCGGCAGTGCCAGGCCCTGCCACTCCGCGCAAGGCGCTTCTGGAGGGACGCACGCGCAGCCATCAAGTGCCTGGCCTAGCGTGCCGCGCAAGCCCAAGCCTGCGTGGCAGCGCCAACCCCACAGCGCTTCCCAGGCAGGACCCAATGCAACTTCACCCACTTGAAGCCGACATCGCCTGCCGGCCACTGTTTGGCGGCGCGCACAAGGGGGCAGGGGGAGGGGGGGAAGCTTCTGAGAAGCACCCTGCTTCTCAGAAGGCCTCGGCCTTACGTCTATAGAGAAGGCCCGCGCCTTCTAAGAAGCAGGGGTGCTTCTAAGAAGCCTTCCCCCTCCCCCTACCCCCCTCTGCGCGTTGCCGACACTTGAAGCCGACATCGCCTGCCCGGCCACTGTACCGGCGAAACTTGTCGCCAACCAGATCGAACCTGCCCAGGAGGTCGGCCTCCCGCCCCGCCAGAACGGTGTCCCATGCCTTCTGGAGGGCGGCGCCGTCGGGAGCCGCCTTGACCACGTCCTGGATGAGATGCCGCGGCCCCGGCGGGCGCCCGCAACCCGGCTTGGGAAGCGCGGGAAGACGCCTCGGCTCGTCAAGCACGCGGAGCCAGACATCGCGGTCCTGAGCCAGGAGAGGAAGTACCACGGGCTGGTGAGGAGCCAGATGGAAGTCCTCGGACACCTGCGGCCTCCGCACTCGACTGGCCAGGTTGGCAGGGCACACGGAGAAGTCAATGCAGCTGGAGCTTGCCCCCTGCCGGCACGTGGAGCCCAGCGGCGTTAGGATGATGCCCTGCAGCACGAGGCACCGCGTCGAACCCCAGCCTGCTCGACTCCATGTTGAAGTCGCCAGCCACAATCCAGTCGTAGCCATGGGCCGCCACCGCGGTGATGCTGCGGCAGAGCTGCGCCACCAGGTGTTGGTTGACCGCGCCCAACCCCTCGCTCGTGAGGGAGTAGGCGGAGAACAAAGGATCTATCTGGTGAGACACCATGACGTCGCAATTCCGGCCTAGACTAGATGCGGAAACGGTGGGGTCGATCTAGGTCATCGTCCTCGCGAATGGGCGACGGCCAGCACGGACCATGACGAAGGCCGACTTCCGCAAAACCATCGCGAGTCGCTTTTTGACGGTCCTGGGGCCTGGCGAAGGGGCCCGGGAGGCCGAAGCCGGCTCAAAACCTCCCGTGGTGATTTTCGCTGCGACGCGAGCACGGCGGTTTTCGGGTCATAACTCGGGTCTCCAACGGTCGTTCGGAACGATCCGGGTCTGGGTCCAGTCAGGCCTGGGTTGGCCATGATGGCGGCGCGCGCAGGGGGGTGGAGGGGAGGGGGCAAGGCTTCTTCAGAGGAGGCTGCTTCTGAAAGGCGCCAGCCTTGCACCTATAGAGAAGGCCCGCGCCTTCTATCGGGGGCGCACAAGCATGGACTAGCGATCCATGGATTTGGCGCGCGGTCGCCAAACCCATGGATCGGGGGAGGTGCCCTCCCCAAAACGCGGTCGGTGCCGCCTCGTTCGGCGGCGGAGCTCCGGCATCTCCTGCGGAAGCGGGGCCCGTCGCTAATCCACGCCCCCTTGATCCATGTCTAAGAACGCCTGGAGGTCGAGGGGGCCTTCCAGGCAGGCCATCCTCCTCCTGCTGTTGCTGCTGCTGGTGGCGTTGATGTCAGTCCGACGTGGTCTCCCCCTCCTCCTCCTCCTCCTCCTCCTCCTCCTCCTGCTGCTGCTGGGATGTAATATGGGGATGCAGGAGGATGACGGGGAGGCCGTCGAGGAGTCGGAGGGGAGGGGAGGGCGAGGACGAAGAGAGCCCGACGTCGTCCTCGTCTTCGTCCTCGTCCTCGTCCTCGTCGTCGTCGTCGTCCTCGTCGTTGTCGTCGTCGCTGCCGCCGCAGACCTCGTCGTCGTCAGCGTCGTAGTCGCAGACCTCGCCGTCGTAGTCGCAGGCCTCGTCGGCGTCGTCGTCGTCGCCCTCGCCGTCGAGGAGGAGAGGGAGGGAGGACCGGGCCGGCGGCGGGGCGCCGTGCGGTGAGGGGCTCCAGCGGCGAAGGCGTGCGGGGCCCACCGGGGCGGGCGGCTGAAACGATCGGGCGCGCCAGGACTGGCGCCTGGAGCGCCTCGAGGGGAGGACGAGGGAGGAGGGAGGAGCGAGGAGGGAGGAGGGAGGGAGGAGGGAGGGAGGAGGGGGGGTGAGGGCGAGGAGGCGGCGAACGAGGATGGAGGGAGGGAGGAGTGGAGGAGGGGAGCAGGGGGAGGAGGAGGAGGAGGAGGAGGAGGAGGAGGAGGAGGAGGAGGAAGAGGAGGAGGAGGACCTGTGTAAATCCAAGACTCATCAACGATGTTGGAACAAACCCTCCCTCCAAGCTCCCTCTCCACAGGCCCCTACAAGGATTCATTTCCACTGAGGGGAATGCCCCCTTGGGAAACAACATGTTGAGGATCCTGAAGCGTGGCAAAACATCGTTCCTGAGATTTCAACGCCGCGAATTGACGCAACTGCTGCGCATTGACAACCCTGAATCGTTCCAACACGCCATTTCAGGTACATTCGCCATGAGAACCCGAGACACACTTGCAATTGTTTTAAGCGGATGTTCGTGGGGATAAGGCGACGAGTACATTTTGAAAAGGAATCGCCCTCAATCTGTGAAACTTTTCCAAAATATTGAGACAACTGCGCGCGGCGCTTAGGCGAGAGCCACATTTTGAAAACGGCCCGCAATCAATTCGCGAAACTCTCCCAAATGTTTGAACACAACTGCGCGCGGCACCAAAGCGAGAGCCACATGCTGAAAAGCGCCCGCCCCCGATCCTCGAAACTCTTGCAAGTTGCTCAAACGAATGCGCGCGGCGCTGAGGCGAGAGCCACATTGTGAAAACCACCTGCCCTCCATCTGCGAAACTGCTGCCACTTTTGAAGCTTCAATGAGGGGCAGCGACCGAGGGGGACAGGGATAGGGGGGAAACATCGACCTGCAGTCGGAGATACATCGCCGATACACCGGCGATGGGCCTCCGATAGCGAATCCGCACCTTCCTGGGCAGGCTGGGGCTATCGGGCCCCTGTCGGCGATCAATGGACGATTGGGGGTCGATGCATCCCCCCCCGTGCCTATCCCCCCCTATCGCTGCCCCCCATTTAAGATCATACGCGGCGAGGGAGCCCCGAGCGAAACGCCCGGCACGCCTTCTCGACCGGCCCCCTGGTCCGACGCCGGGAGGAGGCATCTATGGGGAAGAGGAGCGCAAGAGCCAGGGGAGGCTGGAGGACAGGGAGGACAGGGAGGATGGGGACGAGAAGGTCCTGCTCCCTCCTCCTTCCTCCTCGCTCCTCCTCCCTCCTCGCTCCTCCTCCCTGCTCCCAGCTCCTCCCCCTCCTCCCTCCCAGCGACGGGGGTTCAACCGCCCCCCCTGGGCACACCCCATGAAAAAAAAACACCCCGTGCGCGTGTTGTGCTCCCTTTGAGGCCAAATTCCCCCTCTGGGACACCGCCGCCCGGTGCCCGTCGTGCACTACTAGTGCCCGCCTGCGCCCTCGCCCCGATGCCCAATGAGGTGGCGGCGTCCTCGGACTCCATGCCCATCAGCCGTCGATCCTTCTGAAACGATGGGAAGCGGGGGAGGAGGGAGGGAGGAGGAGGAGGAGGAGGAGGAGGAGGAGGCGGAGGAGGAGGAGGAGGAGGAGGAGGAGGAGGAGGAGGATGAGGAGGAGGAGGAGGAAAAGCGGAGAGGAGGAGGAGGCCGACGAGGAGGAGGGCGACGAGGAGGAGGAGGAGGAGGAGGAGGAGGAGGGAGGAGGAGGAGGCGAGAGGAGCGAGGAGGAGGGAGGAGGAGGCCGAGGAGGAGGAGGAGGAGGAGGAGGAGGAGAGGCCGACGAGAGGCGGAGGAGGAGAGGAGGAGGAGGACGATGAGGAGGAGGAGGAGGAGGAGGAGGAGGAGGCCGATGAGGAGGAGGTCGAAAAGGAAGGACCTTCCCCCACGGGCAGCTCCCCCCGCCCCGCGCCGCGGCAAAGGCAGTGCCTGCCGCATCCGTGGGTTCGGACTCTGCCACGTGCTCGACGACCTCCGAACACTACCCCCGCCGCCCATCGGGGGCGGCCAAGAGGGGGGCGTCCAAGAGGGCGGGGTGCAAATCATGGCCGGGGGCATGTGCGCGGCCCAGGGGGGGGGCCCGGGGACGTAATGAAACAAGAAGAGGCGCCGTGAGATCTGACGAAATATCATGTCCCACGCCATGATATCCACACACCCCTCCTCCTCCTCCTCCTCCTCCGTCCTCCTCCTCCTCCTCCTCCTCCTCCTCCTCCCCCTCCTTCATCCTCCTTCATCCTCCATGATATCCACAAACCCCTAGTCACCACCCCCCTCTGGACCGCCCCCGAGCCCATCGAGCTGCCTGAGTCGTTGATCGGCGAGGGTAGGGTTCGGCTTCCGCCGCTGGTCCGAGTCAGGCCTCGTCACTGCACCGACCTTGCAGACGTGCTGCAGCGGATTTGTGCGCGGGTTTCTACACATGCAGAACCCCGAAACGGCGAGCGAAAAACGGAGTGAATTTCACGTGGATCTTCTTAGTCTTCGTTCCTGGCCGAACAGAATCCGCACGAAATTCACTGCGAAATCCGGAACGAAATTCTCCGGGACACTCTGGGCACATCCGATTGTTTTCCGAGCGAAGTCCGGTCTGCGATGTTGGTGCCATGACGACTTGCCTGAATCGTTGATCGGCGAGGGTAGGGTTCGGCTTTCGCCGCCCGTCCAAGTCATGCCTCGCTGCCAGAAGGCACCGGTAGGAGTAGAACCGGATCTTGCGAATCGACGCTAGTCGACGCCAACTCGACGATCATCTACGCTAGCCGACGCTAAATGGGCAGACCGGGCTCCCACGAGTTGCTACCGAGCGCCCCCCCAGGGGGAGAAGACGAGGACGAGGAGGGCGGGGAGGAGGAATCGCGAGAGGCCACGTGCGAACAAACTTCTTGCCCTCGTGGCGGCCTCCAGCTTCCGGGAGGGCGCCACATGACACCCCAGAGCCGTTTTCCTTCCTTGCCCTCCTCCTCCTCCTCCTCATCCTCCTCCTCCTCCTCCGCCTCCTCCTCCTCTCTCATCCCCCCTCCTCACCCCAAAGCTGCTCCAAATTCACGAGTGCCCCAAAGCCCCAGACGAGGCCAAGAAACGGCACCCAGCGCACCCGCAGGGCTTGAAGTGCAGGCCGGGACGAAGGGCAAATGTGTCCTCAAGACCGCTCGCCGTAGGCTCAGGGCCTGCCGCAACCGAGCCCGCGAGGGAGGTTCTTCTCGGACGCCCTCCCCTGCAGTGTGGAGCTAAACGGATTTAGCAGAGTTTTCCCAAGAGCCCCCCCATACAGGGATATCAGGATGAGAACAATTGAGCTCCGCTATCTAAACAACACCTCGCAATTGAGTTTAAACAGGTGCACGTGGATTTCCACAGAAATCCTTCCTGCAAGTGGGTTTTCTGTGGGTCTTCCTGAGAAAACCTCCTGCTGGAGGGTTTAGACATGTTCACGGAGGTCCAAAGAATCCCCCCCCCTGCAACAAGGTTTATGCGTTTAGGGGGTGTCCCATGCATGAAATTAGCCTGGCGAAGGACCCAGCCATAGGCAACTATGAATACCGCAATTGTGAATACCATTTTCGCCCGCGCTCCCTATGTGGCCACGAACCGCGTTAGGGGAGCGCCGAAATGCGTGGGCTTGACCTGAAGAGAGGCTTGACCTGAGGAGAGGCCCGCCCGAACCTCGCCGTCTCTCGACGGCCTGACTGTGGCGCATTCTGTGGAGCTCCCTATGAGGCCAAGAGCCATGCGAGGGGTGTGCCGAAATGGGGCGGGGCTGCCATACGAACCCTACCACTGGCGCCCTCGGTGGAGCTCCCTATGGGGCCACGATCCTCATGAGGGGTGCGCCGAAATGGGGCGGGGCCGCCATGCGAACCCTGCCACTGGCGCCCTCGGTGGAGCTTCCTATGGGGCCACGATCCCCGTGAGGGGTGCGCCGAAATGGCCTGAGGCCGCCATGCGAACCCTAACTACCACTGGCACCCTCGGTGGAGCTCCTTATGGGGCCACGATCTAGTGAGGGGTGTGCCGAAATGGGGCGGGGCCGCCATGCGAACCCTGCCACTGGCACTCTCGGTGGAGCTCCCTATGGGGACATGATCCCCGTGAGAGGTGTGCCCAAATGGCCTGAGGCCCTTCATGCGAACCCTGTCACTGGCGCCTTCGGTGGAGCTCCCTATGGGGCCACGATCCTCGTGAGGGGTGTTTCGAAATGGCCAGAGGTCGCCATGCGAACCCTGCCACTGGCGCCTTCGGTGGAGCTCCTATCGCGCCACGATCCTCGTGAGGGGTGTGACCAAATGACCCGAGGCCCTTCATGCGAACCCTGCCACTGGCGCCTTCGGTGGAGCTCCCTATGGGGCCACGATCCCCGTGAGGGGTGTGCCCAAATGGCCCTAGGCCGAAATGCGAACCCTACCACTGGCGCCTTCGGTGGAGCTCCTATCGGGCCACGATCCTTGTGAGGGGTGTGCCCAAATGGCCCGAGGCCCTTCATGCGAACCCTGTCACTGGCGCCTTCGGTGGAACTTCTATGGGGCCACGATCCTCGTAGGGGGGGGTGTGCCCAAATGGCCCGAGGCCGCCATGCGAACCCTGCCACTGGGGCCTTCGGTGGAGCTCCTATTGGGCCACGATCCTCGTGAGGGGTGTGCCCCAATAGCCCTAGGCCGCCATGCGAACCCTGCCACTGGCGCCTTCGGTGGAGCTCCTATGGGGCCACGATCCTTGTGATGGGTGTGCCCAAATGGCTCGAGGCCGCCATGCGAACCCTGCCACTAGCGCCTTCGGTGGAGCTCCTATGGGGCCACGATGCTCGTGAGGGGTGTGCCCAAATGGCTCGAGGCCGCCATGCGAACCCTGCCACTGGAGCCTTCGGTGGAGCTCTCATGGGGCCACAAAACGCTGTACTGGGTGGGTGAAACGCAGGGAGAAAGGAGGAGGGGGAGGAGGGAGGAGGAGGAGGAGGAGGAGGAGGAGGAGGAGGAGGAGGAGAAGGAGGAGGAGGAGAACGCGGGGACCGTCTTTTCAAAACGAGGACTCAACACCACAGGATGGTTGTGAAAACTTGCCAGGGGAGGGCCAGGTGGGCTTTCTTAGAAAACTTCCTGCAGGGAGCAAGTAGGGGGGCTAGGTATCTTTCCTAAGACGACCCCCTGCATGGGGGGGGTATGGGGGTTGTTCTAAGAACCCCCCCTGCAGGGGGGCCGGGGGACTCCCCAACGAAGCAACAACTCCAGAGAGGTAGTTCGATGAGGTTATTCCATGTGGGGGCTGGTGAACTACTGCGGAGGCCCGTCCACAAGAAACCTTCCACAAGAAACCCAACCCTGAGACCCCAGGACGTCCATGCATTTTTGGCGCGGGAACGTCACGCTCTCCATCGCAAAACCATAAAAAAACCCAGGGCACCCTGGAGGCGGGCAGGGTGTCTCCTGGCACGGGCCTCCACTGTACTCGAGTGCGCTGCACCTCCTCCTCCTCCTCCTCCTCCTCCTCCTCCTCCCTCGTCCTGCTCCTACTCCTGCTCCTGCTCCTGCTCCTCCTCCTGCTCCTCTCCTCCTCCTCCTCCTACCTCTCCTCCTCCTCCTTCCTCTCGTTTCCTGCTCCTATCTCCGTCATCCTCCCATCGCCTCCTTCCGTTCCGCCTCCTCCTCCTCCTCCTCCTCCTCCTCCTCCTCCTCCTCCTCCTCCTCCTCCTCCTCCTCCTCCTCCTCCTCCCCCCCTGCTGGAGGACGCGGGGCAGAAGGGCGGAGGGGGCCCGGCCGTGGAGGCACCGAGGGGCCTCCCCTGGCCAGGGCGACCCTCCGCCACGCATGGGCTCCCCGACCCAGGCAGGGGGTGAGGCACGCCGGACCTAGGTGAGGACAGCACAGCCCACCCCCACCCCCACCCAGGGCACCCACCTCCGACAAACCGCCTGAGACATCCCCAGAAAATGGCCGCGAACGAGCCCGTGCAACCACCCCTGGCGGCTCTCCTTAGGGGTGCTGAAATGAGCGCCTCGCTTATAAATCTGCTCCGAAAGCGAAGGATGTTGGGCACAGAAACAGGCAAACCGCCTGAGACATCCCCCTGGTGATCCAGGGTGCCCGGGTGGGTGGGGTGGGGGTGTTGTGTTTCTCCTCTCCTCTCTCCTCCTCCTCCTCCTCCTCCTCCTCCCCTCTCCCTTCTCCGGGGTGCCCTGGGTGGGGGTGGGGGTGTGTGTTTCTGGGCCCCGCGGCTCTCGCAACCCACCCCCAAGCCCCACCCAGGGGCACCCGGGACCACCAGGTCGGAGGCGGGTGCCCTGGGTGGGGGTGGGGGTGGGTTGTGCTGTCCTAACCTAAAAACCCAGGAGGAGGAGGAGGAGGAGGAGGAGGAGGAGGAGGACGAGGAGGAGGAGGAGGAGGAGGTGGGTGCCCTGGGTGGGGGTGGGGGTGGGCTGTGCTGTCCTCACCTGGAGACACAAAAAGGAAAAAAACGGCCCAGCCACGATTTCTCGAGGCTCCGCGCGGATGTCTTGGGTAGGCGCTGGGCTCCCTCCTTGGCGCGCGGAGCGCGCCAGGGGCGGCGCCCGAAGAGCCGCCGTGGGGGGGGGCCCAACGCCGATCCAAGAAGTCGGCGCGGAACGCAAGGAAAGTGTGTTGGTGTGCGAGTTGCTGCTCTTCGAGGCTCACACCAGCTGCTTGATGCAAGCCTTGATCATGTCGGCGATCTTCTCGACCGTGGACTCCATCATCATGAGGGCGACGTTCGGGTGTTGCCAGAGGTGCCCCTGGCCCAAGGTGCCCCCAGGATTTCCAAGGAGGCCCCCACGGCCTCCAGAGCATCCCGCGCGAGGCCCAGGTGGCCCCAGGGGCTTGAAAATGGAGCGAAAAGCTGGGGGCACCTTGGACCACGGGCACCCTTGGCAGCCCCCGAGACGTTGAGGCGGCACAACAAGTCGTCCTCAAGCGTCTCCCCCGCCGTGGAGGGGTACTGGAGGGCAGGATCGTCGCTCGCGTTGATGGCCTCCATGAGCTTTGGCAGGTCCTGGAATGAGGAGCACTGACATAAGAACTAAAGCAGAAGAGGAATAAGACAACGACGACCATCTGATCTGTCCAACCTCTGCGCCTTCGGCTTCTTCCTCTGGGGCTGCTTTCGGGCCCAAATGCGGGTCCGAAGAATATACAGCACCACCACCACCACCACCACCACCACCACCACCACCACCACCACGTCGATTCCTCCATCTTCCTCCACCCTCATCTTCCTCTCCTCCTTCCTGGGGGGAGGGAGGGGACGAAGGAGGCGGTGGTGGTGTATACCTCTGGGCCCCGCACCACAGGCCATCAAACATGCAGCCGGGGCACGAGCATCCCCTGGGGAAGCTAGAGGCAGGAAACCACTGCGCAAATGTGCATGTTCAGAGGTCCGCGCGGACTTCCTGGATCGGCGATGGGCCCCGAGGAGGAGGAGGAGGAGGAGGAGGAGAAGGAGGAGGAGGAGGAGGCGGAGGAGGAGGAGGAGGAGGAGGAGAGAGTAGAAGGGAGAGGAGAGAGAAGGGACAGGAGTGAGGAGGGAGGAGGGAGGAGGGAAGAGGGAGGAGGGGAGGAGGGAGGAGGGAGGAGGGAGGAGAGGAGGGAGGAGGGAGAGGGAGGAGGGAGGAGGGAGGAGGAGGAGGAGGAGAGTGAGGAGGAGGAGGGAGGAGGAGGAGGAGATGAGGAGGAGGAGGGAGTGAGGAGGAGGAGGAGGAGGGGGGAGGGGAGAGGCAGGAGGAGGGAGGAGAGGAGGAGGATGAGGAGAGGAGGAGGAGGAGGAGGAGGAGGAAGGAGGAGGAGGAGGAGGAGGAGGAGGACTCTCGGACTCCCTGGCGAGCGGGGCGTGCCAAGGGCGGGGCGGGAGGCGCCGCCAGCGGGGGGGCCCGGCGCCGATCCGAGAGACCCGCCGCGGAGCTCCGGGAGCTCAGGCTTCGCTCGAAGTCCTGCAGCTTGTCGATCTTCTCCAGATCGTCCAGCCTCGAGAGCACCGATGGCAAAGACTCGCCCGTCTCGTTTTTGAGGATCTTCTGCACCATGAGGAGGCACTCCTCCATCGTCTGCTTGATGTCTTGCGACACGTCGTCAAAGGCCTGCATGCCGCGGCACGACTTGAAAATCCGCCACCGTGCCCCCTGGCACGTTGAGGCGCTGCAGAATGCCAAGTGCGGTCTGGCAGGGTTTCTGCAAGTCTTCTGAGGGCCGCGCCCCTCCCCCTCCCCCCGCCGAGGCATTACACTTACAGTCAACCCACACAGTGAGGATGCGCGGTAAGGATGCAAGTGCCTTCGGCGCCCATGCCGAGGCTCTTCGAGCCGGGCTGGCCATCGAACGTGGTTGACCGAAGAAGAGGCAAGGATGCAAAGGGCACCCTTGGGAAATCGATCATCCTTACTATCAGGGTCGACTGTAGAATGCCAAGTGCGGTCTGGCAGGGTCTGTGTCAGTCGTCTGAGGGCCGCGGCCCCTCCCCCCCCCCGCCCAGGCATTACACTTAGTGGGAGCCCGTCCACCAGAAACCTGCCACAAGAAACCCAACCCTGAGACCCCAAGACATCCATCCATGTTTGGTGTGGGAACATCACGCGTTCCTTGGCAAAGCCATCGAAACCCAAGAAACCCAGGGCACCCTGGAAGCAAGCAGGGTGTTTCTTGGCGTGGGCCCCCACTGAACTCGAGTGCACTGCACCTCCTCCTCCTCCCCCTCCTC